ACTTCACCGTAGAAGCAAACAGAGAATTAATTTCAAGCTTTTATAAAGAAAGAATAGAAGGAAAGGTCTTTGAAAACCATGTAAGAGATCATCCCCTTCTTGTGTTTTTACAAACACAGTCTTAAAGGGGCCTGGACATTTTTTAAAACCAATTTTAATGTTTAGAATTCCTACCTAAGGCATCATCTATTGCTTAGCAAAAATTTGATCATCATTTGGTGATTAGCAAACAAGATAAAGAACTTAAATTTCTTCATAATGTAAACAAGGCTCGTGCCTTGTTTTTGTTTACATATAGAAAATATTATATTTATAACAAAATGAAGTATCGTTTTAAAAAGAAAAACAACAAAAACAGTGTAATGCTTGCTGACAACAAAATTATAACAGACTATGATATTCTTCTGTCAGTTATAAGGAATGTTGGGGACAGAGTAAATATCTACAACTAGAGAGTTTTGGTGCATCTACTTAACAAGCGAGGGAGGCAGACAAAAGCTGTTTCTCAAAGGTCTCTGGTTTAAAAACCAAACTGACTCTGTGTACATATACTATTTAAACCTATTTCCTTCTGGTACTTTGAATCCAAGTGATCCTGAAAGTAGCAGAGCCTGGAATTCGTCTGTAAGGTCAAGGCAGAGGAGTCTTTAAAATTCTACATGCACGTGTTCAATGTTGAACATAAAAGTGAACTATGGTATGAAACTAAAAGGAGAAACTATAAGAAATCCAGTTACAAGAAAAATGGTCAGCGTTCCTAGTAAATTGTTCCGTTTCCCGATGGAACCTTTTTTGCCTAGGATTGCATAGTGTGTCGCAAATGACGTATCGATCAAAATAGTCAAAATAAGTCCAAACAAGATATCAAATGTAAAAACTGTTGGGGAAACTGATCATTATCCGCGCTTCTGCAGAAAACGAACAAGGCTGCAAAGTTTACGAACAAGTAGGCCATGAATTAGGGCTCAGTGTCGTGGCTCTCCACGGCCATAAAAATGATATTTCTTGAAGTAAGGTCAACACTTCGTATATAATGTTGATGATGTCTTTGTGTTGTATATTATTGTACAGTTTTAAATGCTTCTACTTATATGTAATGCATTTGCAATTTGCGTTAAACTGAATTAACGTCAGAAGTGTTTTCTGGTGTTTTAAATTTATTCCGCCCTGCATCATATGCTATGAATCTATCCAAAGCAAATTGTAACTTTATAACTTGCGTCATGTGATCATATTTTTCTAATTTAATACTTTTGTTTAGTGAAAACATATATTGCCATTATGTTTAAAAAAAATAAGTCGCTTAATGAAAATGTTAATAAATTGGTGTTTATATGTCTTATTTCCTTTTATTAGAATTACTGTTTACATAAACAACAATGTTAAGTATTAAAGTAGGACTGTTAAGTTGAGTATTTTAAAAAAAATTAGGGTGACAAATAGTGATATGCATGAGGTGTTTGAATTTGTTTGTGTTTATTTCATTCTTTTATCAACAATCCCACATCATCTTCATATTTAAATATGCTTCATATTGTCTGGGTTATTCTGGAGTTATTTTCTTTTAAACGCAGCATGTCATCCCCTATTCTCTTTAGAGTAGTGGACAGGCTTTCGCCTAAATTTTGAAAAAAAAATCAAAATTGCACAAAAAAACTAATTAATATAAGTTATGATAATAAAAAATGCACTTCAAAACAGAATTAAGATTTCCGTTTATTTGCAAATATCAAAAGAGTTTATTGATTTAATTTTATTTAATATCTGATCAAGGGCAATACGAGGGCTGTTCGGAAATTATTGAGACATTGTATATATATTTCTTTCTAATATGAACGTCTTTCGGTGAAAATTCGCATATATACGTTTGACAAGCACTAAAAATTCGTAAAAGCAAAAATTATCTGACAAATATTAAATTTCTTATCTTCAATGGTCTATAATTGTGTCAATGGTAGGGGGACGCAGTCACAGCTAATTAAAATATGTAACAACAACGTTCGAACCCCCAATGAACCCATGATAAAGGCGATAATAAATCAATTTTTGTTTATGATGTTTCAATTTTATTTTGACTGCATGTTGTGTAAGTTTTTTAAAATTCTGATCAGAAATACAGAGATCATTTTTAAAAATTATGTGCAGTAAAGAATGACAACGACGAAAAAATGGAATTTAACCTCAAGGCGGAGCAGCGAGAGACTTAAAATTTTGCGTAGCGCTATTTAAAACTCTTTTCCATAACGATCAACCTGATAAAACAATAACAACAAGAATGCAAAACATGTTTAAGGGTTGTTGAAATAACAATAACCAATGAATTATTGGTTTATATAATTCAACCAGAGTAAAATCAGAAGTTCCTGACGACCATTAAATTTGAACGAACGGAATCAATAACATTGACCCGCGTTGCATAAATTGGCATTGCAAGTCATCCTGTATAAACAACAAATGAAAAGTTTACACTGTTGAAGCAATAACGCACATTTTTTAAAGAATCATTATGATTATAAGAAAAAAGGAAAGTTTGATTTTTGTATGTTATATATGATAACAAAGAAACAAACGAAAACACTTCCCGATAGTTTCAATGCGAAAACATCTCCGGCTGACGTGACGTAGCTTTTGCGCTTCAGATCGATAGACATATGCATGTTTACAAATTTACCATGAATTATTTAGTTATCCTATAATTTAGAAATTTTGCATATTTGTTTTAGTCTTTTCTTTCTAAAAAAATTTCCTGAATTTATCTCTGCTCTTTATAGAGTTAAAGTAAATGTCTCAATAATTTCCGAACCGAACAGCCCTCGTATACAATGTATTCACGAGGTTTGATCCTATTGATACTTTTTTCTAACATATTTTTGGTTTTTTACACACATAGCTGAATTATAAATCAAAGCAAAAAATATGGATCAATAGGCTCCTTTGGGACTACAGTAGTACATTTAATCTAATTTTTCGCACTGAAATTTGTGACTTAATAAAAAATCACATCTTCGACGTTTTCTCTTAGGTTTCAATCCAAATACGGATGATCAAAACGTTTGCGAACTAATTGAATAACTTCCATAAAAGAAACAGTATTTGGTTTCGGTGTTGATTACACTTTAAATTAGTCCTCTCCGAATTTAATGCACATCAGCCACCGTTCTGCGCATGTGCGAATCACGTGATATTGGCTGTCACGTGGGTGTTATATTTCTTTTCTATAAGTTAATTTTTATAACAAGAACAGTTCATTTGTCAGAAATGGTCAAATCTCGGCAACAGAAAGGGTAGATAAGAATATCTTTTCCAAAATTAAGCATGGCGACCATTAAAACACAAATCTTCCGTCTTTGGAGAGACGTTTATTCAAGGTGGATAGAGTATGGTTTCCCCCTTTGTATCATATCTAATATGCTTAAAATCTAAAGTAAACGATATCTTAGGTATTTAATAATTATACTATTGTTCAAATATTCAACTATTTTTCAAAGTGTAAGTTGGAGGTCTTTGATAGCAAATTGCTTAATTACAAACACATATCTTTTCAAACTTGCTTTCAATAAGAAACAACATGACATGTATAATTTTTAACCATCTGCCTTCCTTCACTAAAACAACCAATCCAATCATTGATTGAATTTATAGGAAGTCTTTTGTCTTAATAAACTGTGTACAAATTATTATATGCTACGGCAAAGGGGTTTCTAAGATATGCAATAAATTGTGCAGTTGTTTGTTGAACAAGTCCGACCGAGAAAACCATTTTTTGTCACAAGTGACCTACATAGTGATGTCATTTTCACATTGTGACGTCACAAACAAGGATTAAAGCTTTATTCGGCATACGCTATTTATAGAACTTGTGTATGGTTATGTATGTACCAAATTTCATTCTAATCTGAATTGTGGTTTTGTAGATATAGAGTTAAATCGCGAACTTTTTGATCACCCCTCGTAAAGCATACAACAAAATAAACTATTGGACATTTGCGAGAAATGCTGACTTTTACAACTGACGGTTAACTTGGACATATAAACCTGTATCATGTACGGAAGTACAGAATTGATAATACTAGTAGATGAGGAAATCCTTTCAAAAGGTCATAGGTATGGTGGTAGGGACACTTACATGTGAATGCCGGAAGTTAAGGGTAGAGTGGTTGTTGTTTTCTTCAACGATAATTTTTATGTTTAATAAAATTACCCGTTATTTTCGTTGTATTAAATGTTAAGCTAAATATTTATATCGTAAAAGAGCTTCCATACATTGTCCTGGTGTAAAAGCCAGCCGTCAACTGTAAAAGTCAACGTTCTTTGTAAAAGTCTATTAGTCTATTTAAAGAAAGACACTTTAAAGTTGTGACAAAGAAAAGTTTCAAACTGCCTCGCGTAATCAATTATTTAACCTTTCTGCACTGACCAAATATGATTTTTCTCGCATTCAAAATTCAACAAGCAAAAAATTATTTCAAAGTCAAACTTTAGCTTAATTTAAGCAGATTGATCAAACTCATCCTACATATTCAGAAAAGAAAAACAAAATGGGGGTCTATGATATAAAGTTTCAGATATTTCCTGAAAAGTGTAAATTGTATGCTAAAATTAGCTCAATTTTTCCTGGGATCTCATAATCTATTTACTATATTTTCACAATATAATGAAAGAATTCATAAAAAAAAATGTAATACAATACCAGCATACAGGTGTAGAGCATTTCACTGCATAAAACAACCCAAGGTACAACAAGTATGGAAACATAGTAATGTTAACATAACAGAACTGTGTATATTTCAATATGGAGTAGCATTTTAAGATTCTTCAATTTGTACATTCGTTTTGTCATTTCGAAATTGCGAAGAATTCATGCAACGAAGAATTGATTTTTATTATGCTCACTTATCGTTAAAATCAATATAACTACTGGATATTAAAACATATTGTTACACAGCTGTTACATGTTTGTTGTTTTAAATTGTTAAATAAAATATATTGCAGGAAAATACAAATGGAAAGAGAGAATGATTTGCTGTTTAGTTTGTCTTTGATTATTATCTTGAATTTATTTCAACATAAAAGTAAGTATGTATTGTGCAAAATTAATTTTTAAAAAATCAGATATTGATCACAAAGAGAACTTTGTAAACCCGTAATAACTATCATTTGATTATGTGGTATTTTTACTAATAAAAGATTAAAAGAAAAAACAATATACATGTACATGCATGTTAAAAGCTTCAATTGCTAAATAATGCATGCAAGTGTATGTTGAAATAAGACCTTTAATAAAATAAACAAGATCCAGTTACGGCATGCATGGCACAAGTATTTCTCTTCGATCTAGACGCACAGATATGACCAAGAAATTTATTTAGAAAAATAACACAGATAAAAAAGTAAAAAAAAGTATTTTACAGTTTTAGATGCCGTCTCTACATTTAAGATGCGATACTCAAAAAAAGTGTCCATTTAATGAGACAGAGTGGGAAGAAAGATCGACAGAATTCGTCTTTCAAGGTAAGGAGGTTTATCATTGCTTACTGGCTGAAGACAAAGTTTCTTTGAAGCAAAGGTGTACAGATGTTACCATAATAGTACCGCGTATGTTTTGCAGATACTCGGCAGAGAGATAATGGTGTACTTCTCTTATTCCAGATTATTATCCTTTTAAGAAACAATGGAAATATAAAATACATGTTTACTGGCTTGAAATATAAGCGATAATTGGGCGAGGGTAAGAAAACGTGATAGAGGGCGATTCTTGCCGAACGAAAGAGCAAACGTGGACCTCTAACACATCAGATGAAGATCAGGTGCCATGGAGTGAGAATCCCTTGTTTGCATTTTTGTAGATTTTAATGTTAGACATCTAGTCTAGTAATTTTATATTTCAAAAACCTATATTTGCCTTTGAATATAGTTTGGATGACCTACCATGAATACTGTTTATTGAGTTTAAAATGTTACATTATTTTAGAATGAGAAAGAGGAAGTTTATAGAACCCACCTGTAGAACTCGGCCGCGGCCCCTGACACTGTCTGAATATTTTCCCTTGTAAGTCACAGCAAACTCATTGATCTGCTTGGCATGTTGCAACAGTTTAGCAGCAAATGTCGGATCTACAGAAAAAATACATATTTTGTTATTTTGGATAATGATAATAAATTATATTTCACATATAATCACTGTTCGGTATAAAAGCAGAGTTGCCTATTACACCTTATTTAGGGATTGGTAATTGAAATGCTTAAACTCGTTTTATTTAATAAGTCATTTTCAGAAATACAGTGTTCGTTATGTTTGCTCTGGTCCTATTTTGTATTGTTTTATGGACTTTGATATTGAATGCTGTTCATTATCTCCACATTCTTCACACAAGACTGTAATTAGTCACATAAGTCACTTGAAAGGCGGGGGTGACTTGTTGATAATTTAATTTAACAGTAATGTTCTCAAACTCTGATAGTTTTCATAAACATCATGTAATTCAGAATAGATAACACTCCTTTATCTTTAAAAGCCAAGTACCCAGCCACCATTGCAGCAGCATATTCTCCAGTAACGTCACTTCTGGGTTTATTTTCATCCACTTTGAACACAGGTTGCCTAGCTGTAATACTTTCTGGTCTGTCCCATACAGAGTGAGATTTTCCTTCGACGACCTGTTAAGACGAAATTTCAAAAAAAGATTGGAATGCTCAAAGTCAGCACTGATTAGGGTTCTTAGAATAATTCAGAAAATTAAAGTACCTACAAGGAATCTCAAAAGTTACATTATTCAATGAAATTATTTGCATCTTCTAAAGCAAATCCTTTGCACATACTTTTTTTTTCATCTTTTAAAGTAACTCCTTTGCACATACTTTATTTTTCATCTTTAAATATGTAAAATAGTAGAGGAATGAGATTCATATAAATTTTTGGTCAAAACATTTCCCAGGACTAAATTTTTGGCAAACTCTTATAATCTTTAATCTAAATGCCAATAGTACATTTATGACCAACATTTTTTTTCATTTTTCAGAAGCATTGTAGGTGAATATGTAAGTCAGCTATTGTAACCAGTGAATACCTGTACGTATAACTCGTTAGTTCCGGTGTGACATTTCAGGAGCCACTTAAGCGACCACCTGATGCATTCGTACATTTTGTCCAGTTCTCCGCTATGTTGGTACGCGTCTTTATACCTCAGAAGACCCCAGGTAAGCATTGTTGCTGTTGCTGCCATAGGGAAGCCAAATTTTATGTTGTCTCCAGCTGGAAAAGGCTTGACACAGGTAAAATGACATAATATTTACAACTTAACGCATCCTTTATCTTAGATATCTGATTTATATCAAATATTTCCTTAATTAATATACATGTAAAAAAAACTATTCAGGCATTTAAAAAATTATCATCATCCGTTTTTAGATACATTCTTTGACTAATATTCTTAATAAAATCAAATTTTATTTATCAAGCATCGCTACACCAACGACGCAGTAGGATGCAGAAACATCTCCATCTACTGATTCACATCTTCATCAGAAATAGGACGATTGGAATCTTTTTGGTTTTGGCAAATCTACATTACATCAAGTGTGTGAGGCTATTATAAAATATCCGCTCGAATATGATACATGAAGGATATGGAGATAACGAACAATTTTCAATATCAAAGTCCATAAAACAATACAAAATAGGAGCAGAGCAAACACGGACCTCCGAGACATGAGAGGTGGGATCAAGTGCAATGGAGAAGTAAGCATCCCCTGCCTACTGATCACACCCGCCGTGTGCCCATTGTCATGATCAGGAAATAACGGAAAAATCTGTCGTCAGTGTACATGATTATACAATTGAGTAACAATTAGTACGAAAAAGTCAGTAATGTAATTATGTATTCTCAAGGAGAATAAAAAGGATGAAGATCTAAAAAAAATCTTTGAACAATATAAATACATGTATGTGAATAGGTAATTAACACGAACCCCTGGACATCCATGCTGGGATAAGATGCCAAGGAGGATACTTACAAATCCCTTACTTATGCAGCAATATACCTTCATCACCTGCATACGGAGTATATATATCTCAGTTGATTCGATACGCAAGAGCATGCTCTACGTATGAACAATTTCTTAAACGAGATAAATTATTGACAAGCAAGTTGATGAAACAAGAATATCAGCAGTCTCGTTTAAAGTCATCATTTCGTAAGTTCTATGGTCGATACAATGACCTTGTCAGCAAATACAATTTATCATTGAGTCAAATGCTGACTGACGTTTTTCATACCAATTGTTAGTCCATTATTTATACTTTGAATCGACGACGGATTTTTTCCGTTATTTCCTGATCATGACTACGAGCACACGGCGGGTGTGACCGGTCAGCAGGGGATGCTCACTCCTCCATGGCACCTGATCCCACCTCTGATGTTTCGGACGTCCGTGTTTGCTCTGCTCTTATTTTGTATATTGTTTAATGGAATTTAAGATTGAATACTGTTCGTTATCTCCATATCTTTCTTCAACAAGTTTAATGAAATTCCTGTAACATTAACTTATATGTGAGTAGCTAGCCTGAATCAAAAACAGAGAAAGGTAGAAGAAAGTCATCAAGAGCTAAATGGTTATGGGGCCCGAGCGATTGATGGAATGCATGTTCCTATCATTGCTCCAAAGCATTCCAAAGGAGACAACTTGTATGGTAAGGACACTACAGGGGGCACTTGTTTGCGACCACAGCTATATCTTTAGAGAAATAAACATAGGTTTGCCAGAAAGGGTGCAAGATGCCCTCGTTTTTGAAAATTTATTTCAGAGGAGATAACGGCTCCTTGTTTAGACTTTTGCCTTCTAGCCACCATGTTTACCGACTGATATTTTACAAGCCAATGCATAAACAACTGAAGCAACACTAAAAATGGAGATTTTTGCAATTAAAAAAACAAAATACATACATAAGTAATTTTGCTGCGTGTTCATACGACAAAATTTATACACTTGAAGTAATAATTTGCTACAAAGTGTATGCAAAAGTTAATTTGCACCTAGTCCTGACCAGTGGTAAATTTACTCAACTGTGCAGAATTTGTATATGAGTAGATCAGTTCATACGACAAAAATTGCATATGGGAGTAAATTTACATTTGTGTAAAATATACTTAGGTGTGCAAATCATGTCGTATGAATGGGGTATAAGTAATATCCGTATAACGAATTTGTATAAATATATATAGCAAATTCGCAATATGCTCGTTTTCCCTAAAGCATTTCTCCCGAATATGCTAGGGAACCAATTATTACAAAACATATCTTGGATAACTATGGCTTTATTATGAATTAAATTTTATATAAAAATACTGTCAAAAAAAAGTAAGTTTAAAATAACAAAATTTTAGATCTTTAAAACTTCATTATAAAAGATGTAAATAACAAAATTCTTTAATCTCTAAGGGACTCAAAATCAGTTCGCTATATCCGTAAATTCGCTATATCGGAGTTCGTTTTAACCGTAAAATTTTACCAAGAACTACTAAGAATTTTGCCGGGGACCCCGAAAAACTTCGATATATCCATGAATTCGCTATATATCCGTGTTCGTACTAAACGAGTTTTACTGGAGCAGGTTTATCCACGATTTCTTTATTTTTTCATTGGAATTATCGGTTACTTGAGTAAAACGTCATGAAAATATTTTTAAAAGTTATTTTTGAAAAATACCTGGGTATTAATAGTGAAACCTGCTTATTACGAAATCAGTGGGACCTTTTCCGTAATTTGTTATATCCGTATAAGGAATTCGTAAAACTTATTTAACTGGGGATCAAAAATAACTTTGGTCACCATATTGGCGCAGTGGTAAGAGCGTCTGCTCTAGAGTCGCGAGGTAAGGAGTTGGTCCTTCAGTCGTGGGTTCGAATCCCATTGTGGGACGTGGAGACCGGTTCTTTGGATGAGTGTGTAAACCAAGATCCCGTGTCGCAATAGGTGCTGGTATTTAAAAGATTCCTCCGTGCTTCATTGCCCTGAGTGCCGAGTTTTGGACAAAATTTACAGCTCTCTACCAGCAAGTCCGTCTTGCTCTCCA